GTTGTCTTATGAAGACATTCACGCTTCTAACACAGGAGAAGATGACGACGATCCAAATGCCATGGCAGAGGATCAGGGTAGCCCTCCACTTTCCGGTTCCTGATCCCCTGCAATGGCATTTGGATCAGGAACCAGAAAGTGAAGGGCTACCCGCAAGGGACAGCGAAACACCACCAACACCACAACCACGAATGCAATTACGGCCAAGAAAAGCTGCAAAACTAAATTAACTTGCAAACTTCAATGGGAAGGGATAAGCAAACGAAAGGAACAATGGTAATAATTGGTTTCTGAATATTCAAAATTGTTGCTTTACTCAATTCCCCTGAGCTGTTGACAGCTTAACTATTACAGAGGTCCAGTCAAGTTGAATTTCGCTGGCTTCAGGAGCATGAGAGGAAATATATGTACCCTTATTTACGCAGTCATATACATTTAGAGTTCCTCGTTGTGTTACTGTTTGGTTTATCTTTCCTAATTTATACATGTATATAGGGTTTTTCTGTGCTACGGGTATGGTCAATTTATTTGCTGTATTCACCCATGCAGGCATGTGGCATAAGACCCATATTACACCAACCCTGAATCAAAAGTTTTTATATTTACAACTAGGAAACTAGAGCGGTTTTCAGTTGAGTGTCGAAAGTAATTAGCCAATTACTTTGGTTTTGGTTTTGGTTTTACTACAGTTTGAGATTAACTGAGAAGTCTAATTGGTAAGTAATTGGTTTTGGTTTTGGTTTTACGACACTCAATTGAAAACCGCTCTAATTTTAACGTTGCTGTTTACAAGAAAATTTAAATTTTGAATACAAAAGGGATTCCCAAATTACAAGTTGGCTGCTTAGGGGATTAGCAATCATTTTCAAATGCTAGAGAAGGCCACTTACAAGAAAGGCTGCAAGAAGAGCTTTGACTGTATTAGGAAATAAATGTAATAGCAAAACACGGCAAATGTTCAGATGTAAAACCAGAGATTGAAACTTTATTGCATATGTGCTGGAACAACAGCATTAACCCTATAATATCGATATACTGATCTTGGTATTCATTTTATAACTTTACACTGAATTATGTACATTTGATTGTTAAAAAAAAATACACCACTTGAATTTTGTCTAAAATAGAATAAATTTCTTGTATGATCCCTCAAAACATTGACATGTGATGGTCATAAATTATACTCATATATTATACAATTATAGCTTCTTATTAATTTTCATCAAGATCTCAACTGCCTAGTGGTAAAGTATTTGTAAGAAAATGTTATGTTGGATAAAAGTTATCAGGATTTTATTTAATTCAAAAGCATCCAACCTCAATAATTAAAAGTTTTTCAATTAATGTGATTTAGGTTTCTCTACAGGAATACATATCATTTGTAGAAGAAATTAGAGTTAAAGGTGGCTCAAAACAGTTTCCAGCACTTTCGAAGACTTAAATTTTGATGGGTCATTATAACCGTTTTTTATCAATTGATGCTACAATCGTGGTAACAAAAAACTGCCTCATCATCGGTAAACACGTAATTATTTTCGTGACACAACAGATTACTATTGCAAATGTATAACCTGCTAAAAGCAACCTTAATTTTAGCTTTAAGGGCATATAATTCAAAAACTGCGTGGTGAAATATTTTTATATTGTCAAATTTTGAATAGCAGGATAAGATGCAGCTTTTGTAAAAGTTTTAAAAAATACTGTACATAGGGTTTTAGGCAACCTTGGTAACCTATTGTTACATGAAAATGATTGTAACATGTTCACCAATGAATGGGCAGTTTTGTGTTACTGTGATTGTAGCATCAGTTGATAAAGATTGGTAAAAATGATCCATCACAAAGTGCTGGAAACTGTTTTGAGCCACCTTAAATTAGTAATAGTTGTCCTGGGTAATTAATCATGGAATCTTTCTGTTGCTATTTCTTAAGGCACTAATAAAACATGAGAACTGTACATTATGACAAAAACATACTTAAAACAGCTTTGACTGTTACATTCCATTATTGCCACAAAAGTGTTTTGAGACTCCAACAGCCTGAATTACTTTTCCGATATGTCCTCTGTCCACTTACTCCTAAACAAGTTTTCTGAATCAAATGGCCACTAATGTCATCCAGAGATACATCACTGTCAAAGACCAAACAGTTGATTTCATTGGTTGAAATATCAAAACATTTGAGTTAATAATGTCAACAAGCTATGTCCTAAAAATGAAAATGACTTTTTTCATTTCCTGCCTACAAAACGTATTAAATTTATCTATCATTGAAATTTCTTGCTAGTTCTTCAGTTTGAGATATCTATTTCTTCGCAGTTCAACCAAATGGTGTTGGACAAAAAGGAATATAACCTTAATTAGTATAATCCAGTGACAGACTGTAAGGCAAACTTATAATCCAATTGGCATTGCAAGGCAGGTTGAATTTTTGATAGAGTGCCCCCAAGGCACATGCACTCAGGTAAAATTACAGAAATCAAAACCAAAACAATAAATAATGAACACTTTCAATGAACATTTAGTTGTGAATGAATGGTCTCTGGATTATACTAATTTATTATCTAAGAGGTTTAAACATCCAGAGTTGGTGGTCCAATGCTGGGGTCCCATCATGCTGTTCTTTGATTAGTTCAGCCCTAGCATCTTGAGTGTACAACTCAAAACTATTGGACTTCCTGATCAAATACAAAATAAGTTAAGAAATAATTTAGAATGAAAATTAGCAATGTAAAACGTGAATGACATTCCGATGACTCCATGTCATCATTATCAAGTTCAAAATACTTACAACATTTAAAGTGTTAAAGAAATGATGCACAAAATTTGACTGCTTGATCTAACAGATGCTGTTCATTAGGAACATAAAACCAAAACTTAACACACAGTCAGATTCAGGTCATGCCAAACTCTTGACATTACAATTGAATACTTTAACACCCATTTAATTCCCCAACTATTATCACACTATTTTTACTATTTATATTTACTCAATTCCATCATGTGTTTCGAACTTGATAATGATGACATGGAGTCATGGTAACGTCGTTCACTTTTTACATTGCTAACTCTCATTCTAAAGTGCTTTAAAGAGCCTTTATAAATTATTAACAAGTTTTCACATTTTCAACAAAAACGTGACAAGAATAATTCCCCTTTTAAAACAATTTATGGATTGAGAATGAACACAAAGATATCAAGAGTGCTTCAACCCCCAGTTGGTGGCAAAACTGTCTTGAGTTTGCAAGTTTGTTTTTTTTGTAGTTATTGCCAATCCTACAAGCAACATTATTTTGCTCTTCTTTAGAAAAGATCAGAAGACGGTCACACAGGGGTTCTCTGGCACAGTTCACAAACGGATAATTAAAAGTAGAGAATTGTGGATAAAATACTTTCCTTTTTCCAGGTCATACAAATCCTTCAGGTCATGGATCACAAAGAAAAATTTCTTAAAATTTGCATTTCACAGAAACTAAAATCAGCTGCTACATCACACATCACAGGAATACCCCTGTACTATACACATGTAAGAACAAAGTACTTTGCTGATGTCTGTCTCATTGTACTAGTACTACCCTGATCAAGTTAAAACATAGAAAATCACAGTTATGAAGAAGGTTTGGATACCCAGTCCTAATTAGCATAGATTTTGATGATTTCACTGTCTATCATGTTTGATATATTACTGTCTCACATACTGTCTGCCAGCCCTTTTGATGGTGCTATCATCAGCTCCACAGCGGGCAGCCCATTGGGCTGCTGATCTTCTTATGCTATGAGTAGTAAAATCCTTTTCAAAAAGTGTCTTGGAAATCTAAAGGAGAATTAGGAAAGCCATCAATAATACAAAATAAACTACGGAAACAGTACAGCTCTTATGATCAAAGAAAGATGGCACATTTTACATCATTGAACAACTTTTTGTAAAAATGATTCACAACTATAAATGGCAAACCAATTATCAGGTATGTAAACACAATGGATAATGATTTTTGTATGGGTGGGCATCAAGTGCCAAATTAAACAACTCAACAGCGAGTTGAGTACCATGGATTTCACTCTAGACACTATGATATTCAATCAATACAAAAACCTGGTCACAGTAAATAATATACCTGGAGAAAGGTTTTCCTGTAGGTTGTGACACCACAAGCTGAGTTCCCATGAACTGCATGGTTGTTTTTAGCTACCCTTGGAAAAAATGAAACCTTTCCTAATACCTGCTTGAGACCCAAAAAAAAATCAAGAGCTATTAATTAAATAGATGCCAAGATATGCTGCTCAAAATATCTTCAGAACGTAGAGAGAAAAGAGCTCATTTACCACAGTTAAAGGAACTCTAGTTCCACTTTTAATACTGCGAATAAGGTTAAACTTAACAAATAATCCACCAACCTGTTATCAACAACCACACAAGAAGAGCGGTTACGGGACATAACTCAGGGTTCAATGGGTTAGCCCAAAGAGTGAGTGTCACCCCTGAAATGAAAAGATTGCAAAATATTCTCAGTTGAATTAATGACTGCTAAAGATGGTACCATTAAAAGATTGTAGTCTGTTTTGAGAAGTCTAAATTTTAAAAGTGTAAGCATGGGAAGTTGAAAAGAAGTTAGGGAGTACATTTTTTTGGAATAGGTTATAGTTGTAAATCAACTTGGCAATAAATGGTGGTCCTGCGCCTTTTTTTTATTACAATTCAGGATTGATTAATGTTCTAAAATATAGTTAATATGGCTCACATATTTTGCCTTTGGAGAGTAAGGAAAAAAACACATACATGTACATGTATTCACCATAATATATTCCATGTTCACCATGTTGCAATAACTAAATTTGTGAAGTATAAACCCAATAAATAATCCAGCTTTTGCTTTTCGGTCTGCTTTTGACCATGGTAGTTTTATGTCAATTCTCTTTGGCAATTCACCAGAATCAGCTGCGAAATGAAAAGAACCAATTATAACAATGTTGGAAACTTGAAATTACAATCCTGTCAAGGAGCACTTCTAACTGAAATACTCTCAAGCTAAAAATCTATGTCATAAACTCACAGTTTTGCTGCTAAATGCTTTCTCTGGCAGATTAAAAAATGATACAAATGGCCATTGCACATTGCAGAAAAGATTACTTTCAACATTGAGCCTTCTGTAATACCTGCAAAGTTGGCTGGCAATTTCAAATGCCTCACTTTTAATCTGAGTGGTTCCTCCCCTCTTAGGAACAAGGCGAAAGAAAACAATGTTATGCTCCAGAGCCACATGCCACGCATACCCTGAAAAAGCAAGCAGAGTTTACATACCAGTAAATCAGAAATGTATTAATATGATGTAAACTCTAATACTGGTACCCTATATTCTATACTGATTTGCATAACATACATATAGTAAACATACAAAAACTTCCTGATCAGTTTTCCTAACAACTGGGTTGTTTGAAAATTTAAAGTAGACCATTGTTTGTTTGTTTGTTTATTTTCTTTCAAGGTACCCTGCTGGATATCAAAAGAAATAAATTATGCACAAAGGATGAGCAGCTGGAGCAGCTAGTAGCTATAAGTACTATTGATATTGTCAGTGGCATTTAACATAATCAAATGTACAATGTTTAAGAAATAGAAAACATGTACCATGTTTCTATCGAGTTATAGAAACACGAGTGGAAGTTTGGGAGAACAAGAAATGCTGTGGGAACACGAGCCGTAGGCGAGTGTTTCCTCAGCTTTTTCGAGTCCTCCCAAACTTTCACAAGTGTTTCTATAACTCGGTATGAACATGGAGAACGTTGTCTATTTCTTTTAGAAAACACCGTGATGAAAAAAATGGACAACAGCTTGTTAACTTTGATTATCAAAGTGTAAATGCTCTTTGCTCACGCCATCCATACGTCAACAGCTCGTGCTAGTTCTGTGTTTCCATCGAGTTATAGAAACATGATTTTTAACCAATTAGCGCACGTGTTTTCTTAGGACTGTTTTCTAAATTCATAATTAGTCTATAATTATCCTACCTCTATCGTTTTTAAGCAGTATGTGCGCATGCGCAACAGCTTCTGTAGTGAAAATGGGGGTGCCCTTTTGGGCTCATATGGCATCCGACCTTGGCGTGTATCAGCCTTTGTTGGCCTAGCTGACCTTTTCACTAGTTGCTTTATGGTCTGTTTGACATCTATATATATCAAGACACAACAAAAATTTTATGCTCCTTACAATTCAATTTTAAAAGTATTTATTTTATAAGTACTACGCTGTTGAAGTAGCTTGTGAAAAAGGATAATCCAAAGTGTTATTAAAGTGATGTATTAAGATAATTAGTAAGATAATTATTATTCAATGCATATTCCTCTCTCTTTTACTGGGAAATGGCCATGAGACCATAAAAATGATCTGCAAAAACCAAAATGCTTACAAATAATGGTCTGTTTACGCCCATTACCATCTGACAGTGATTTGCTACATATAATATTCTGCTCAAGTGTACATGTGTCCTGTCCTGTGAAAAATGGCCACTAACTGTGGTTCCAGAGTTTTCAGAAAACTATTTGAAAATAACACTAGTACGATGAAAAATACAAGATCATTTAGGACATTAGAATGACAAAACATTATGTTACCAGGGCACTCCATTGGATTTCCCTTTGGGATGATCGTCTGAATCCCATTTACAACTTCCACTTTTTGGCTGTATGGACCAGTGTGACCAAAGGCATTAAACCAGTACTTAAATGCAGCAGCATGACCTCTTATCGCTGGAGGCTTACAGCGACGGCAACATAAGGTGCCCAACTTCTTCCCCCTAGTTTCACTCATCATTTCTGAAAGAAAAGTGGAGAATCAAAAATAGCAAGGCATCTCTGATGTGCATAACATAGTATCGTGTAACACCCCGTGTGCACTGGTTCTACCTAATTCCTATTGAGACATCATGGTACAAATCTCTATTTAGACATGGTCATGCGTGAACAACTTGACATGTGTAGTTTCATTTCGGCAGCAAAATTTCTGCCAACTTAAGCTGAGTTCCTTTTGCTACAGTTTTGGCAATGTGAACATCATTCTGAACAATCAAAACCCTACTACAGGCCTTTGACTTTCATCAAGCCAAGATGTTGACTATTTTTAATTTGTGTGCCTACATTCTCATCGATTAAAAGAAGCAAATTCTCCATCGACAGGAGCCAGATGAAGCATTTTTTATTCGACTGTTGCTCTACAGATTTTGGCATGTTTTAACCAGGCAATAGGAATCGATCCTTCATTTCCCTTTACTATGAAATATGAGAATGAATTAATGAAAGACTGGCACAAGAAAGGAAAGATAATGCAGAGACATTCATTCCAGGGTGTAATCAATGTCCCAGCTTTTCAACTTTGGTAACCAAAACCACACTCTCTTGACCAGGGAAGCCGCAATCATTCTGTGTTTTTGAACCTGTTTAAAACTGAAACCACCGGCACTCTTTCTTTCAGGCAAATTCAAACACAAGGTCTACAGGTTACCTCACTCAAGGATTACTCAAGGATTCCACTGCACCACTCACTTCACAGGAGAAATTCTTTATTTCACGCTAAACAGCTTGCTTTGCTTGTAGCATTATATTCGTGGGAGCCTGTTTGCAGGCTACGGTTAGTGTAGCTAAAATGCTTGTTTTGGGTGTTTACAAAAAATGCTTTTAAGAGGTGATCTTTTCTTCAAAATCCTTGGAGTTGCATAAGCAATAAGCCTTTACAGTCAGGAGTTGACCGAATGACATAGATGTATAGATGTCAGATATATACGTGAGGCCTGGTTCATACGTTGCATTTCTGTCGTGTCGAATTAAAGTCAATTATGTGCGGCAGAAATGCGACTCTCGATTCATACATACATACATACATTCTTTATTCAAGATGCAAAGTTACAAAAGTATACATATAAAAACCAAAGATAAAAAAGAAAAGGCATCTCGAAAAGGAAGTTCTGAGGTAAAATAATATGAGAAATAGAGAAAATATATAAAAACAAAGATCCTTCATTAAACATTCAGATACAATTCATACGTCGCACTTGTCTCAAACTTAATTCAGAATTTATACAGCAGGGTTTGTCAGTCAGCGGGAAATGTTTTAAACATAGAGTATTCGACAAAGTAGTTAAATTTTGTGAAAATTATCCACGAATGGAACAAGGAGGAAAGCTGACAATGCAGCAGTTTGTTTTGCAATAACTACAGGTTG